GGCAGGAAACAGCCTTATATGGTGTTTTTGAGGTGGTAATCATGCTCATCTCCTCTCAGGTGCACGAGCAGCTGGATACGAACAGGTGGAAATTACGCTGCTCGTTTACACACTTTTCCAGAAGATAGAAGTGTTTGTTGAATCTGACGTGACATGTTCGTACGAACCCTTTGTACGAACAAAAGTAAGAGAAATTTAGGATAAGAATATGAACGTTCTTGCATGAGGCCCATTGTTTTTATCAGTGACAATAAAGCTATTCTATTCTATTCTTTGTGTTTTTAATTATAGTAAAGACTTTGATGAGCTGAACTCGCCCACAGGTGACACCTGAAGGAGCTGCTGGCAGGTCGGGGCTGAACAGTGAGTTAAAGCAAACCCCTCAGAGAAGCAGGGTAAAACCTGACAGGAACCTAAATGTTTTGAAACGTTCCTCCTGGTGTTCCCACTGCAGGCAGACAAGCTTCAGGACGCCCTCTGCGGTGATGAAAGTACAGGAGTGGTGCTGATTGTGTGAACTGGTGAATAAACGGATAACTCCCCAGTAAGGTTCTTCAACATTGATAAACTAATAATCCAGAAATGTGATGTGCATTCTTCTCACTTTTGAAGCTTCATCAAGTAAAGAATCAGAACTTTTTTCAACACATAAGAAAGTCCAGTTTCCAGGCTTCTGCATTAACATTAATAACATTTCTTTTAAAAACATGCTGGGCTAACATCTTTTAGGATTAAATAAACTGCAGTTTTACAAATCAATAATTCATTTAACAAAGAATAATCTTAAATAGAATTAAAAATAAGGTCTGACTTCAGGTCCGTGTTAAATTAGACCTGAGGGTGGGGTTGTATCTGTAAAACAGGCGCAGCTTGAAGAACTAAAAAAAGAACAAAAAAGAAGTGAGTCTTGATGCCAAAATTAGATGAGGGTGGTGCAGACGGTGAGTTTAAAATGGTTCTGCAAGCAGAGCTGAAACTAAAGATGACATCACTCTAGTCCAGGGGTCTGCAACCTTTACCGTCCAAAAACCCATTTCTGCTCCTTGGATCACTGATAAAATGTGTCCCGAGCCAAAAAACTGTGATTATCAACTGGTGGCCCGTGGGCCAGTTTGAGTTTGTTGAAGGGAGGCTTTTCCGACCAGTGGGGGTGACATTATAATACTAAAAATACATAGTGAATTGTAATGTTTTATATATATTATTACATTTTAGAACAAAAAAAAACATTAATGTAAACACTAAAAACATTGTATATAAACCAAATTTAATAAAAAACTAAAAACTTTTTTCGCGTTCCTATAATCTACATCTATCATCAAAGGTAGCACTGATGGATTTGAAAGATAAACTTTGAAGTTGTATTATTGAAGAGGCTAGCACTCAACATGTTTCACTCTCATTATTATTGGTCACTTATTTGCAAACGCATTGACAGAAAAAGTGCTAAAGCTAACCAAAAAATAAATAAAAAAAATCTCATGTTAGCTTTGGTCAAAGCATCGAAGAGCCGCTGCAGAGGGACCACTGGGCCACATGTGACCCCAGGTTCACTGAAAATCTTAATGCAACACTTTTTCTGCCTAAAATAAAAATTAGACAAAGTGACGGTTTCTCACAGGAACTATAACTCAGCTTAAACCTATTTAACTTTAATAAGGATCCCAGAGCTGTTCGTTTTATCTTCTGTTTTAATTTAGTTAAACCTCCATGTCTTTCCTTTACGCTGAGCTGTTGCGTCTCAGTCCGAATGAGAAGAGAATATGAGGACAAAGATATAAAGGACAAACCTACAAAAAGCCAACAGTTATAACTGAGGACATTGTGTGCAACAAGAAAAAAGAAGACTTGTTAAATTATCTTTTAAAAGTCAGGAGACACTTGAAAATGTGATATTCACCAAACGATCCGGCCTTGTGACAACAGAGGAGGCTTTGTTGGATGTTTGATTTCCTCATCATCCAATCTGAGCTCAAACTGATCTAATTTACAGCCTTGTTGTGATGATGACTGCAGTCCATGAACCGAGGCGTGTTTTAAAACAGATCAGGGGTCGGATTTATAAAACTGGCGTACGCACAATTTGAGCCCAGAAACTTGCGTACGCCACTTTGTACGCCAAGGTTGTGATTTATAAAATCCAAACGACGTGAAAATGTGCGGTGCCTCACGCCAGCTCCGACCCATGCGTACGCTCATTTTGGAGACGTGAAACTGCGACACAGATGGTGAAGTGAGGGATTAGAGCCACACTGTGTAATGATCACTGTCAGAT